ATTATTACAAAAGCTTGGCCAAACGCCTAGCAAGGGCTGAAGGCACTATTATTATTTTAACAAATTTCAGATATACATACCTATGTATCTATTACAAGTATAAAAAAGAATTGGTATCAATATTTATTCAACGTATGTAATATTAAAATGACATTAGTTCATATTTTTGTTTAAAAATAATATTTTGTCGTGGTTTTCACCAAGCGCTCGTGTACGCCTTTCTTCCAGAATTCTGCCTGACACAGAAAAAACTCTTTTACTAGTTGCTGAGCTAGCTGCTATGATTAAAATTTGCCTTGAAAGACTTCTAAGAAGGGGCAAATCTTTAGCTTTCTCCCAAAATTTTAAAACATCGTAACAACTTTTGTTTTCCGATTTTTTCAAATACATCTGTAGTTCCGTATTAATTTCTTCAAAAACTGTTTCTGCAGATTCATTTGTCGCATCTTTGAATTCGTCAAAAGTTGCACGGGTTTTTGCCCTTTTCGAGGTAGAAGGAATGTCATCATCCAGAATTTGGTAATCGTGCTGAGGGCGAGCGCTCTTTTCTTCAAGTGCAGTCTACCTAAGTAAGAGTAGAATAGATGTGAGAATAGTAGCACTTATCAGCTGTTCATCGGCGCCCTGATTCGATTTTGTTGCCAGCACAAAAAGAGATCAGGATTTACCCTGTTAGGCGTTAGGAAAATGAATTCAAAGCAATTGCTTGGAGAAAGTCACCCGGTACTATCCCTGTTACAACACATACTTGAGTGACATTGACATGCAATTTCTTTAAAGTTTGCGTCTAACTGTAAGCAAACCGAAAAACTGCAGATGTGCAAATGAATATTACAGAAAGCCTTCAATTTCAAAGGAAAAAGAATAAATGTTGCCACTCTAGTGAAAGTTAAACAGTAAGTTTACGAATTTATTTTAGATTAAAATACAAATAAGTACATACATACATATGTGAAAATGACGTGATTGACGAAAATCTAACTCACGCACACTCACGCACGCGAAAATTTCAGGCACGCACGATCACGGATATTACGTGATTTTTCACTGAAAGCCGCTCACGCTCACGCGTGAAAAAGCGGGACACGACGTGTAACGTAGAAAAGCACGACTTTTGCCCATCTCTATTTCAAACATACAAAAATGCATTAATGGAACAGTATTAAAGCATTCTTACAAGATATGTATCCCCATATGTAAAAAAGTCCACTGCTGTATAGTAGTCAAATTTATCAAGAAATGTACTTAAAACAACAACAACGTACGTTCGCTTGCAGTTCGCTAGAATTTTAATTTATTTGTGGAAATTCATGACTACGCATGAATTGTTCACACTATTTCACTCATACAGCATGCATACTTCATGAATGGATACAGCCGAATTCTACTGGGTATTTTATTCATGCACACCCTTGCAAAAATTGCGACTGCTCCATGCATGCATGTAAAGACTACTCCCTAAGGACCAAGGAGTACTCTAAAATTAACTACAATTCATATAAAAAATATGGTCCAATTAACATTGCGATGTCCTAGGGCAGGACCATATACTTAGGGTTGCCAGATTTTTTATGCGCGAAATCAGTACGTTAGACTTTTTCATGCTAAAAAAATCAGTACTTTTCAGCAATGCCGTATTTAGGGGGGGAGGGGATGTGGGGGTTCTGACCCTCCCCGAAATGTAGAAATGTAGGTTTTTAAGGCACTTAAACTTGAAAACGGCAAAACAAGCTCCAAAAAAAGGAGAAAAGGCATATATTTTTTAATTTTGTTATGTACTTCCTTTGTGTACAATGTGAAGGTCCAATTAAAGATATAAAACAAGTAATTTTTAGCAAAAAAAAAACCGACTTCAACTCCCATATAAAATATATATATATATATATCTCATGATCCACTGATCGGATCTCAACCAGATTATGTATGGGACCACCTCTGAGACACTACCTTTCCGATGCAAGAAGAATTATCGAAATCGGTTGACGTGGTCCAAAGTTATGCGGTAACATACATAAAAAAAAAAAAAAAAAAATATTCCGACGAACTGATAACCTCCTCCTTTTTTGGAAGTCGGTTAAAAATACATACAGTGGTCAAAAAATTATAACCGAACCACTTCTTGCCAAGTTTTAACGTATTATATTTGTTGTTATTGAACTTTTGTTATATTTTTAAATA